GATGCACTTTTAGAGACTGCATTTCCCCAGAAACTGCGGGACGTCGCCGTGTGTCACCCGTGAAGGGCCGCACAGGTGAGGCCCCCTCCATTAGGTCGGCGGCGTGTCCTCGCTGGTCCGCGGGCACCTGTCGCTCAGTGTGCACTGAGTCCGCTGTAAAGGAACCGTCCCCTCCCCGCCGTGTGCCTTTTCTCCCCGCTGCCAACGTCTTCTGTGGAAGACCAGTCCCCACTCGAACGGAGACCGATTACTCGTGTCTTTTACGACGGGTCCTCTCCGTGTCCTTTCCGGGAAAGTGCCCTTCGTCCAGCAGTCCGTGCTCATGCATCTCACTAAAATCGTGACCACGTTCCTGCGTCATTAAGCTCTGAGGAAAAGGTCAGCAAGCTGCAGACCACCGCCCGTCTTGCAAACAAATCTTGTCGGACACCGACCACGTGACCCGCCACGCCTTGTGCTGAAACACTGCCGCCCGCCAGCCCCTCACAGAAAAGGTCTGCAGCCGCGCTCTGGAACACGGCCCCGAAGGCCGCAGGGCCCGCCCGCGAACGGGGCTCTGCGCGTGCGTCTCCGTCTCCGCACCGGGGCTCTGCGCCTGCTGAGCACGGGCCACACCCACCTGTCGGGAGCCCTGAGGCACGCGGCGGTGCGCGTCTGCTTCTTTCCCGACGAAGGTTCCTGCCAGCAAATCCTCAGCTCAGAGGCCTACTGGGTACATCTGGGGTTCCGGGCGCCTGCTGCCCGGCAACTCTCCTGGAGGTGTAGCAGTTCACAGCCCAGCCTTGTCACAGGCGTCACCGCCCTCCCTCTCCACCGACCGTGAGAAGGGGCCCTGCGAGAGACGCCCACGGGAAAACGCGCTGGAGAAATGACGACACGTTGGAAAGGGGCACACTGACCAGAGCGGTCCAGCTGGCAGAACCCGCCCCCGAGCCAGGCAGGCCGGGTCCCTGTTCCTGAGGAAAGGGGTGGCGGCCATCCCGACCTGCCTCTGCTTTCTGGCCAAATGAGGCTGCCAGTGCCGCAAACAGCAGCCATCCCCTTGTTCCAACAGCGGCAGATGCACCCAGATGCCCAGTGCACCCCGCGTGCCAGCAGCTGCCCAGCCCCCCTGCTCCCACGCACCAGGGCCCTCCGGCGAGCGCCCCTCCAGCCGGCACCCGCGGCCCTGCGTAGGGCTCGAAGATCCGGCGGGCGCTGGTCCCACCGGGCAAGAGGTGCTCCTTCACCGGGTCAGAGCCGGCTTCAGAGGCGAGCATCTGGGCCTGGCACGGACTGCGCCCACTGTGGCCAGTGGGCTTCCAGTCTCCGTCGTCAAGCTCCGAAGAGTCAAGCTCCGAGTCGACCTGTCTTTGCCGTAAAGGTGCCACAGGTGCAGACGAAGCAGGAGGAGGGACAGCTGCGCCCCGGGCACCGTCTCTGATCCCAGGAGCCAGAGGCGGCACCAGCCCCACCTGCAGAGGAGGGAGCCGGCTCGGGGACCAGGGTGACCGCCTGGGGTCACAGGAACCTGGTGGCAGACTCAAGGGAACTCCCAGCCTGAGTGCCGTCAAAGCCCCCTTACCTGAGGGCCCACCTGTTCAGGAGCGTGCGGCTCGATTCATAGAAACTCGGGGAACGAGTCCCGCCATGCAGAGTCACCCTTATACCCTACACACACACAACCCCGTCACACACACTGACACACACACAGTGTTCACTGACTGAGCTCAGGCCTGGACTCGGCCCCCGGAGGAGGGACATCGAGGGCGGGCATCTGCTGCTGGCCACGGACCCTCTGCCCTCCTCCGCACGTCTGCGAGGGACGCCGAGCAAACGCAGCCTCAGACAGCCTTACGCCCCTGCCCCGGAAAGCCCCCAGAGGCCTTTCACTGTGGCCCTGCCCCGCCCCCAACCCAGCCACCAGCCTGGGTCTCCCTCAGGGCCGCCCCCCGAGCTCCCTGCTCCCTCTGCTGCGGTTCGCGGCCCCCAGCCCTGGACCACAGTCCAGAAGACCACGGCCCCGACCGCGCCAGTGGCCTGCGATGGGCACGGAGCTGATGGGGCATGGCCATCCACGTCCACACGGACATGTCAGGCCACCACGGGGACTGCACAACAGAGCCCACGGGAGCCACGGCCTGGGGCAGCCGTCACCACCCGTCACCCTTGCAGGCCTGATGTCCGCGTTCAGGCCCGTGCACAGGGGCAGACACAACGTGCCTCCCGCTCTCTGTGTGGGCCGGGCCCAAGTGGCACTGCTTGTTTGTCACCGCAGCGCCCGCCCCTCCCCGCCAGGCTCTGCTCTGCCCCCATCCCGAGGGCACAAAGGCGTCGGAATCACAAATCTCTCCTCCTCCAATAACAAGTGAGACTGTGATGCATTCCCCCGAGACACCTGCGCGGCCACCTCCCACGTGCCTGCTCCAGCGTCACCTCCCCGACCACCGTCTTAAAACAGCAGCTGCGCCCCCCTTGCCCGCAGAACCCCCATCCTGCTCCCGTTTCTTTTCTGTGGCTCTTGTCGCTTTGGAAGACACTGCAAACGTGACTTACGAAGCGTACCCCGTCTCCTCCCACCGCAATGCAAGCGCCATTAGGGCCCGACTTTCACCCCTTTGTTCACGGCTGTCCCCCCAAGGGCTCGAAATGCTGTGAACATGCCCCACAGGCTCCGTGAGCACCTGTCCAAGGGAAGAAGGACAGGACGTGGGGGCCCGAGGAGGGAGCCGTCGCGCTGACCTATGACGAGTATGAGGTGGCGCGCTGCTCCACGTGGCTCGGTTTCGATGAAGGTGGAGCTGGGGAGAGAGCGAACGGCCTGGCCGAGGTTGCCCGACGGCACGGAGGAGGCAGGACCGCGTGTCCGGGTAGGCACGACCGCGTGTCCGGGTAGGCACCTGCACGGCGGCCGTGACACCCCGGTGAGAGGGGTGGAGAGGGGGTGGGGCTTCCATCCAGAGCACTGGGACCACCAGAGGAGTGGGGGCCGGGGGGAGTATGCGCCGGGCATGGTGAGGCCGGCCTTACACCGATCGCATGCGGTGACGCCAAAGGATTCTGAGCAAATATGATGAACATGCTCAGAAATGCTCCCTGTCCCCCGAATTTTAACTTATCGAAACAAATTCTCAAAGGCAAGTATGTCGTCATGGGAACACAGGCAAACACATACACACACACACACCCCCTCCTGATACTCCATTCCCGAGAGAAAACACACACATGTGCAAGTTGAGGCCTTCAGATAATTAGCAAGACTGGGAATTATGCAAATGAAGCATATTCAAGTATGCAATGAATTTTAAATGACAGAACTACAAAAACTTAATTGCTGTATTAGCATGCCATAAAAACACTAATCATAAATGTAAAACAATGCGTGCACAGACTTACATCGAAACTGCCTCAGCGACACGAACGTCCGATCGCCCCTCCCACTGGGCCCACGGGCAAGCCCACCTCGACAGACAACGAGAAAGCACCACCCCAGAGGGTCGCTTCTCATTTTCAGCCATTCCATTCGCTAGCATAGATGTTAACTGTGTAACTAGCTTTTGTTCTATGTTTCTGGGATTGATATTTCAAAACTATGACTTTCCACGGCGTTAATTTTTGAGACGCTATCGCCATGCTGTCACGAAACTCAAACGTTAAGCAGCGTTAACGGTGGTTTAGGGCATGTTCTAGACTAGAGTACACGTTAGTTCTCCATAAACAACAAGAGCCAAGTTTCTCACCTTTTTTCATTAAAGTGGCATGTTTTACTCATTAATTAAGAACAGCACTCTTCAGTAAGCCCCTGGGACGGTGTTAATGACAAATCATGAACCGTATCAGGGAAAAAAGTCATTCATTTGCCAGGTCTTGAAATAGACTCACGTTCAAGTACAGGTTTAGTTTCATGCCCTTTTGAACCGGACAAACGGTAAACCCTCGATCTTGGGTCCAATGCTGACCCTCTCCTCCCGGAAGCAGAGTGGGCTGGGACAAGCCATCCCATCCGCCCCCCGTTGAGCCCCGCACAACCCGCCCGGCAGGCTCTCCCACCCAGGTGTGCCGCTTTCTGTGACCTGTTTCCCGGCTGGCTCGTGCGTGCCCTGTCCATGTGGAGCCGAGGGTCCTGGAGCAGCAGTCCCCAACCCTGGGCAGACGTGAGAACCCTCAAGAACCCAAAGGTCAATACTTCCCAAGCTCCCCAGGTGACACGAATGTGCACCCAGAACGAACTGCAGGTCAAGAGAGCGGCCGGCAGCTGCCACACCTTGTGGCCTCCTCTCCCAGCCCGGGTGGGCGCTCAGCAGACAGGGCACTGCTGTCACACAAACTGTGCTGTCACAGCCTGCCCAAGACATGCCCCTGCTTCGTGAGCCCAGAGGCCAGGGTCTGCTCAAGCTCCAGGACAGCGGCCGAAACCCTTGGACTTCGAGAGCACCGAGGGCAGCTGACGGGGCGACCCTGCCCCGCCGAGGGCGGCCCCGGGGGCCTGCGGGGTTCTCTCCCCAGCAGGACGTCCTGCTGGGCCGGCCCTGTGCACAGGCCTGTGTCCCGGGCAGACGGAGAGCCCTGGAGGGCAGGGCGGTGTCAGGGCTCCCCGGCACGGTGGAGCGGGTGAAGGCAGGACGAGCAGGTGCGCGTGGACGAGCACAGTCTCAGCGGACCAAGGGACCAATGCGGGCTTCCAGCCCGGCTGCCACGGCCGCACCCGCGGCCTGCGACTCTCCTCCGCCCTGACCCCACCGGCCCTGCCCCCACCTCAGGGCCCTTCCACACACCGCTGGGCAGGCAGGACCCCGTGACAGCCACGCGCTCAGGCTCTGCACTCGGAGACCTCGGCCTCCACGGTCTGTCCCCGTGCACCCGCCAGAGCTCGAAGACACCTACGAGACGCGCCCGAGCTGAGACACGGGGGCACAGTGCAGAGCGGCCTGAGAGAGGGGTGAGACCCGGGGCGGCCTGGGGAGGGCAGAGGACGCAGTGACGGTGTTCGTCTGCAGGGACAGGACGGGACAGGTCGGGACGGGACAAAACTGGCCCTTTGCCCCCTGCCACCGTCTCCCGCACCCGACGGTGTCAGACGTGGGAGGTGCTCAGTCAACACTGACCGCATGAGTGTGTGAACCAAGTAAGGGGCCTTTTGGGGGGCTCCTGGCTCTGCTCTTCCAGAAACTCGGCCTCCTCACTCCCCACTCACATCCTCAAGACGCAGCACCACCCAACCCCGTCCCCCAGTACCCGCTTCCCTACCCCTGCCTCGCCCACTGGTCACCCAGGCCCTGCCTCCTGTTCACCTACCCGCTGCGTTCCCGGTCACATGAGCCACATGTCCTTTACCCAGGGAGCACAGACGCACCCTCCAGATGCCACAGAAGATGCCACCTGGCATCCGTAGGAGTGTGCCCTGCCCTGGAAACACCCGCCCCTTCCTGCTATCCCCCTCCAGAAGGGTGGCTTTGCCCGCTGACCCTACATGTGTTTACTCACCCGTCACCCTAAGCCTCAGGGAGAGCCAGAACGATCCCGGTCCTGTGTCCCCACGGTGGCGGGCCTGAGCCTGGCCTGCCAGGACCTTGCTCAGCTCCTCCCCCACGGCAGCACTCTGCTCACTCCCAGTTCCCACCTGCGTCTCGCACACCCCACAGGGCAGCCGTCCCCACCCACTG